GTTTGGGGGGTCCCTCAATTTGGGAAGATCCCTCAGTTTAGGGGATTCCTCAGTTTGGGGGGTCCCTCAATTTGGGGGGGGTCCCTCAAGTTAGGGGGTTCCTCAGTTTAGGGAGATCCCTCAATTTAGAGGGATCTCTCCGTTTAGGGAGTTCCTCAAGTTTGGGGGATTCCTCAGTTGGGGGGGTCCCTCAATTTGGGGGGGGTCCCTCAATTTAGGGGGTTCCTCAGTTTAGGGAGATCCCTCAATTTAGAGGGATCTCTCAGTTTAGGGAGTTCCTCAAGTTTGGGGGGGTTCCTCAATTTGGGGGGTCCCTCAGTTTAGGAGGGGCCCTCACTTTAATGACAATCAGTGATAATTCCAGTGTGTTTCTACTTCCCAAACGGAGGTTTGGGATTTTCTCCCCTTTTCCCCCCCAAAACCCACTTTTCCTCTCACCCAGGACCACGCCCGGTGTGGAAAATCCCACCCGGATCCCGCCCATCCACATCCAAACCCCTCGGTTTTCCAGAAGATCTGAGCTTTTCCCCGGATTTCAGAGGGTTTTTTTTAAATCCTCCACCGCCCCCTTCCCCGCAGGAGCCAGGAATTCCCCCAGGCTGGGGCTGGAACACCCCCTGGATCAGCACCCCGGCGAGGGAGCACGTCCGCAGCGGGCACGGAAAAGGCGGAAAAGCTGCTTAAGGCTCTCGGGGACGTGGATTAGGAACCTTAAGACCTCTTAATTTGATCCTAGGGCTGCATTCCCTGTCTCTGCCAGGACTCTGGGAATGGTGGAGAGCCGGGTGACGCTCCCAAATCCCTCCTTGGAAATGAGCTGGACATTGGGAAGAGATGGATGAGGAGATGGATCCGTTGGAGACGCCTCGTTTCTGGTGGCCAAGCAGCAGGGAAAGGCTTCCCACCTCTTCCAGTATCCATGGGGAAGATCCATGGATGAAGGAACAGCCATTGCTCCGCACCGGCCGCCTCCAGGAATTCTCATTGGAAAACTCAGCTCAGGATGGGAGTGGAGGACTCAACGGATGTCTGTGTGCAGCTGGAATGTTGGTGAGGATGAGCAGGAAGGTCTGGATGAGGAAGGAGAAGACGTGGAACAGGACTTGGTGGTGTCCTCGAGCTCTTGGATCATGTCCGCCAGGGACATCAGGATTGGGAGACAACCAGAGGGTGAATCCTTGGAACTCACAGAGGAGGGGAACAGGATGGGTAAGGAAATCACCACCAGCTCCTGAGAGGTAGGAAAAGGCACATCCCCAAGGGGATACGTGGCCACCAACCTGAGGAAAGCCTGGGAGAAGTGTTGGAGTCTCCATCACTGGAGGGATTTAAGGAGAATGTTGGAGTCCCCATCCCTGGAGGGATTTAAGGGGAATGTTGGAGTCTCCATCCCTGGAGGGATTTAAGGGAGGAGTGGTGGAGTTCCCATCCCTGGAGGGATTTAAGGAGAATGTTGGAGTCTCCATCCCTGGAGGGATTTCAGGAGAATGTTGGAGTCTCCATCCCTGGAGGGATTTAAGGAGAATGTTGGAGTCTCCATCCCTGGAGGGATTTAAGGAGAATGTTGGAGTCTCCATCCCTGGAGGGATTTAAGG